GCTCAGTGAGCCATGTTCATCTTTAAATGTCGCGACCCTTTATAGGCACAAGAGGAGCAGTGATATTTTTTGACAAGAGACCTTAACTAGGAAATGTAGTGAATTCAAACAAGGAAACTTTGGATTATATTACAATGATTCAGCAAGAGACTGTTAGCACATAAATACAACTCAGGTCGTTGGCCATTAGTACAGTAGAGACTCCCGGCTCTGCAGACACGTTTGCAATTATTTAAAATGCCACTGAAGATTATTCAGAACTTTATTATTTGTGACTTTTGTTAATAACTATAGGATTATATTGGATTTAGTTCTCAATTCCGCAAGTTTGATCTCTGTACTTTTTCACTTTATAATCTAGGGAAATAAAGAATTTGTTTAATTTTACACAACTTGTTGTTTTCACTCTTTTCCGTTACTTATTTTAAGACAATAGAATTGTAATAACGTCCACCGCTAGTTTGTCAAGTGTCCCGCCAAGTCGCGTATCTCCTAATGGGCTACGTGAAGTTTAATGCGTGGACTTTGTTAGGGAGTACACATCACATTTCATTAAACATTTTATTAACCAGTTATTAATGTATTGCTTCATTTCCACAGTTAAATTCACGATGTTTTTTCTCATTGGTTTTCTTATCCCCAAGTAAACACTCATTATACAGATATACATCACTATCAAGACTTCTATTCTTACATGTCTGGGTAAAATCAGCTGTAAAAAGGTACCTGTTCGGTTCCTGTTATTGCCTGTACAGAAACCAATGATAATACTGTAAAGAATTCCGTAAGAACAAGTAATGTCTTGCTGCTGGGCTCTATATCATATTTAATTGTTGGATGGTCTCTCTCTCTCCATTCCGTAAACAAGTGCAAATTGTTTTTTTTATCTTTGTTTGCTTCTTGTAGTTTCTTCAAATTGTTTTATGTGTATCTCCCTATCATATCTGTTCTTGGAACATCGTTCTCATCAACAGACGTCTTAGTCCAGTCTCTCACTATCATCTTCATTGCGCAAATCATGTATTTTCTAATTTTTGGTCACACTCGTAATTGTCGCAAACCTCCTCGAAGTAGACAATGAACTTCATTGTTTTTCATTTCCATACTATCCTGAATTTGTTTACAGCACCTATTTTCATCAGGAACATGTGCATTGTTTGCTGTTCAATGAACACTATTTCTTACTACAAAATTATTACTATTTATGTCAACTGCAGTATTCTGAAGCTCCGGATACTGCATAAACGTGTCTTGTACCCTTTCATAACTAACCCAAACAGTATCTGCAAAGCATCACAACTGTCCTCAAACACCCTCTACCACAACTCTTCATGTACAAACTAGTTGCCCTCCATAGGCCGCTATTTCAAAGTGATCCTAATTAAAACTGTCCATAAAACCACCTTTAACCTTCAGCTTCCACACATCCATTCTCCTTCCTTTAAGCTGCTAACAAAAATTCTTTGACTGTTCTAGTCATTTACATCTCTTCCAGATTTTATCGTAGCCCGGGATTTGGTCCAACCCTCCGAGCTACCTCAAGCTTTCTACCTATTCTTACCCCTAGGAACCCTAATCTGAGTTACTTCTCCTGGCTTATCCAGACCTGATGTCATCTATTCTAGCCACCTGGGGAACCCTTTTCATGGATTACAGTCTTTGGAAACATTCACGGACTCCAGTCTTTGGAAACGATCTCACTAGATCGATTATAAACTCTATTCTCTTTACATCTGTCGTCTGACAAATGCTTTCCCCACCTCACTGAGTTGAACATTTCCGTTTCTCTTCTTCACTACTGTATACTTTGGCATCACTTTAAAGGCTGCATCACGTCCACTTCCATACATTTGTAATCACAAAGGCTTAACCTTGACATCTGCATTTCCTTTTGTCCTTCCTGCCCTGTATTCCACAGTGAAGTCAATAGTTAATCCCCATATAATACTACTGAAGTCGTATGCTGACAAAATTTCCAACCATCTTGCTATTCTCCCTTTTAAATTCCTGAAACTAAACACCCTTACTAGTGCTTGTTGATCAGAACGCACTCTAAACTTTCTTCCAAGGAAATGGTGTCAGTAATACAAAACATGTCACGACTAACAATTCTTTATTTATCACGCAGTTATTTCTACCAGCTTTTTTGAGTGTTTGACTCTCTCTCTCTCTCTCTCTCTCTCTCTCTCTCTCTCTCTCTCTCTCTCTCTCTCTCTCTCTCTCTCTCTCTCTCTCTCTCTCTCTCTCTCTCTCTCTCTCTCTCTCTCTCTCTCTCTCTCTCTCTCTCTCATTTCATTTGGCTAAAGATGTCTCCAATGCTTCTATGTCTAATCTAAATTCTCCTTCTGGCAGCGGATCTCCCGTTATCTCAGTTCCTCTTACTCTTTGCCCCTCTTTGTTAACTCTGTTAGTGGCTTAATTAAGTCTGCAAACCTATAATTAAATCTTCTGTAATAACTTCTCTCGTAAAGTAGCTATCTCACTTCTGCAAAATTTGTGGGTACTGGAAATTTTAAGATTTCTTGCAATATTGTCTGGGTTCGGTTATTATCCCTCTCCTGAAATTACGTGCCCGAGAAGTAACCTCGTCTCCAAACAATTTTCATTGTAAGGTTTCAGTTTCAACCCTGCGGTCTACAGTCGATTTAATACCATTTTAACTCAATGGTCCAAATTAACACTATAATATCATTTAAATAGACGAGACATTTATACCACTGTAATCCATGAATTTACTTAGTTCTATGAAGCGTGGCCCCTCAGTTAGTCGCCTCCGTTGGTATTTCAATGAAATCATGCAGGTCATATTTTATAACAAAAGCTACTTTTGGTATGTCTTCCTTCTTCACTGGTATGTAATGGTGAAGGGAAGAGATAAAAAGTTGAAAATAAACCTGCACACGCCTAGGCATCAAGACAATATTGAATTGGCAGCGGTGTAATCCTCAAAATACCTAATGTTCCCATTCTAATTAGCACAAGTGAAAAACCTGATGGTGAAGTTGATTGTTTTGTTCTTCCGTTTACTTCAAGATTTGTTGCTCGTCTGTAGCAAAGACCAGTGGCACACGTCGAGGGGATTGTTAATGGGTCATGCATTCCCATTATCAAGGGCGTGCCTGTCCCGAGTCTGTAGCAAAGGCCAGTGGCACACGTCGAGGGGAGTGTTAATGGGTCCTGCATTCCCATTATCAAGGGCGGGCCTGTCCCGAGTCTGTAGCAAAGACCAGTGGAACACGTCGAGGGGATTATTAATGTGTCCTGCATTCCCATTATCAAGGGCGGGCCTGTCCTGAGTCTGTTTCATCTTTGGAAAATTGTCCTCTTAGATTGTCAGCATTTTCACAAGTATTATCCTTTATTGCTATATTCGTTGATCACTTATACTCTTCAATAGCTGCTTCAAATGATTCGGCACTTCAGATTTATGTAATATTTTCTGTTCCTGACATATTTCAGATCTACTTGTTAAATTAAATTGTTAACCATATTCTATATTTCTGATTGCACTATAAGTTCTTGACATTGGGTCAACTAGGTATTCCATACTTTGAATTTTTTCTGCTGTTCCATCCACTGCAATTTGTTTAATTGAAAGTTTAGTTGAACACGAATTAAGAAGTCGCACCTTCTGCCACACACCCATTGTTGATATATGGCAGGTAGATATTCTTGTTTAAAATTATGTTAAGCTTAATAAACACTTCATAGGAATCTGATCTATGGCGCTTGTACTTAATAATAATTTCTTCACAATTTCTCGGTCTGCTGCTCCAACTGTTAGCATTTTTTCTCCAAAGGCCTACTTTAATGTATAGTATTTTTACTCCCTGCAATCATAACAATCATTCGATGCGAAATATATCTGCAGGTTCACTGTTTTATTGCTGCAAGACGCCAGTTCCTAATAATTATTCATCATCAATTTCTGCAGCTATGCTTTATTTTTTCACCTTGAGAGAGACTAGATGAATTGAAAACATTCCTTTTCAGTCTTCTCTGAACGGATTTTACCCAAGCGCCTGCTAAATTTACTGATTTGCGCACCCTGGGGTGCTTTAAAGAAGCTGTCCGTTTTGAGATTCTTTGATGGTGATAGTACGTGTTACGCCTACCTCTCTGGTGAAATTTAGGTTGATTCCTTCAATATTTTTTTCCTCAGTGGAAACACCATAATTTCTGGGAATTCGTTGTCGCAAAATTGTTCTTCTGTATGTCTCTGGATCTCTAACTTTTCAATTTGATTCTATGAAATCTGTAATTTTCTTTCCAAGTTCTAACAATCAACATGCTTAGGTCTACCGATTACTATATATATATATATATATATATATATATATATATATATATATATATATATATATATATATATATATATATATATATATATATATATATATATATCTTTCACTTACATTTTATCGTAGTTTTCTAATTTGGCTATAAAGTTTTTAATCAACATGGAGATCATCCAAAACTCTGCGTAAAAGGTCCTCCTATCGAGTTTCAACGTTGCAATTTGCATATGTCATCTTAACTTCTGAACTCCGATGCATATTCTTTTACTGTCTCAATTACTTTCTAACTTCTTCGACGTCATGTTTTCCTTGTTTCTACGATTCTAAATGTCTAAATCTACTGTTAAGTTCTGAAATAACAGCTAAATAATTTGACTGTGCTGATCTTGGCAGATGAACAAAATATATATTAACCAGCCATTCCATGTAATCATGGAAATAATTCATATAGTCTATCGTTATTTGTTCATCCCTTACGATCTCGTTGAACCTATCACACCACACTTTTTACTATTTACCAAAAAGGGAGGTAACTTTACAATTCCATGTCTTTCATGTGTATGCCTTCTGCTTCTAAAAGTCGAACTATAACTGTGGAAAATGTAAAATTTCATCGCATTTTTACTCAGAAACGGACATACTCCAGAGAGGATTTGTATTATTAACTCTTCTACTCTGACAGACGTGTTTTTCTTCCCACATATCTCTCCGGTGGCCTAGTGGTCAGAGCGCCCGCTTCAGATGCGAAAGGTCGTGGGTTCGATGCCCGGCCGAGTCATACCAAAGACTTACAAAAATGGTAATAACAGCGGGCTCACTTGGCGCTCAACATTAAGAGGTTAGTTTATGGACTGGTCGGCCTGGTGTCAGGATAATGTGACTGTATGGGAAATCATGTTTCATGTCGGTTTGTACTTTGTCATTAATACAACAACCATCGACACTACTGTTACAGTTTATATATAAAACACCTTATGATATTAAGTAGATAATAATTTTGACATTTTCACAACTTGGTTGTGCGTATTATAATTATACATTTTTATTCAAGATGCAAAATTAAAATAGAAAATACAGCATTAAATAGAATTACCAGCAATTACCTAGATTCACGAAAATACTTCACAGTGGTGGGGCTGTGAACTTTTACTTCAGGTCTGACATTCTACTATTTTTTTTTTTGCACGGTTAATTGGTATCTTTGCTTGTAGTCACTAACGTGCGGAGAAAATAGCACCAACATTCTATATCTGTGTGGCTTAAACCCTACTAAATTTATCATTCTTTAACGAATGTGTGGAGTTGGATTCCATTGATTTTCTCGATTCATACAATATACAGCCTTGAATTTAAGAGAACTTTATTACTTGAAATTCTTGAGGACAATGAGAACGACATTAGCACGACTATAGTTTACAGGGGAGGCAAATTGTCCCATGTACGTTGCTAATAAAGAAAGAGTTATGTCGCTTGAACGGCGTCCAGCTAGCTACAGCACGAAGTTTGGTTGGTGCAGTATTTAGAGGAAAAATTATGTTTGCCCGATGAACCAAAACCAAGTACACCCGACTGTGAGTTTCAGTTTACGAAATTGTGATATTTGGAGATAAATATATTCAATCAATCATTGCACGTATATTTATATAATTGAATATGTGTTATACAAGGAGAGATTTATTATCATCCAATTATAACAGCACGTGAAGAGCAAATAGACTCATTCAATGAACTAACAATTAATATTAGCAAAAGCGTGGTATGTAAGGAGATGAAAGCTTCATTGAATTATCACGCACAAATTAATAAGAAAATGTCACCAATGATCACCCAAACGAAGTTGTATAGCTGCAATGTATCCTGAAGTCAATGCGAACTTTTTACGTTGATACAACTGGAGTTGCAAACAAATCTCAAAGGACAGGAAATAAGTGTTGAATATATAAATATTTCTCGATGCGAGTCATACCAGAAACTTAAAAATATGATCCTAGCAGCAGCCTGGCTTGGCGCATTAAGAGGCTGAAGTTAGAACACATTGTAGCGATATGATTAAATTTTTTAAAGTTACGTTAAAAATAAAAACCCCACAAATACATATTGATGAAATAAAGAAGTAAAGAAATTATGCATTTTAGAAAATGACAGAAATTGAAGTTCTGCATTTCAGTAAAAAATACAGTATTAGCTATAAGTATATTAAACGTTCGTTAAGTAGTGGAATTGTTAATTTGATAAAAAATAATTCCAGAATAAACGCTAAAAGAATTGTAGTAGTAACTAAAATCTAAAATTAAATTAGAATCCTAAAACAATAGGGAGTGTTATCGTTCTGCAATTAGAAATTAATTTAAAGCAATAATATTTGAAAATATACTTTTATATCTGCAGCATATATATATATATATATATATATATATATATATATATATATATATATATATATATATATATATATATATAATTAATAAAATTTCGGCATTAAATACACTAAATATTAAGCTATAGACATTATGGCATAAAAATACTTTTATGTAGTGATGATGTACTTCCATAAAACTTACGCTGTTTCAGCACATGCTTATGATTATTTTGATTGTAACGGAAATGATCATCCATTTGATATATATATATATATATATATATATATATATATATATATATATATATATATATATATATATATATATATATATATATATATATATATATATATATATATATACACACACAAATATACATACATGCATACACACACATACACACATACATACATACATACATACATACATACATACATACATACATACATACATACATACATACATACATACATACATACATACATACATACATACATACATACATACATACATACATACATACTTACATACATGTATGCATAGATGTGCATACCACAGGAGATTCGGATTTATGACAGTCGTTTGTTACTCAAATAGCTCAAGGGACGCGTGTTGCAAAAATAACACTCCGCAACACCTAAAATAATCCAATATACTTTATTCAGATAAAAAGTATCTTATTCAGTATCAGAAATCATGTCTTTGTATCTTTGAATTTTTAATAACAGAAAACTATTCCAATTTTTAACGTGAAACAAGATACAAAACAATGGGACCAATGCCAGTCACGTGACCACATTTTCATAGGAATCATGCATTACTAATGCTACGACTCTAGCTCTTAAACTATATAAAAAAGAAGTGGAATCAACACGTTCAGTAAAAGCAAATAAAGAATTTATTACTCTAAGTTACAAAGTGACAATTTTATGAACAATTTGCAGTAGTGTCCACTAAATTCCGAAAAGGTCTAATGTCATAAGGCCAAAAATGGAATATTCCGTATGAATGACAGTTGTCTTGAATATTCTGGTGTACCAATAGTCTTAAATGTCCTTATGTACCACACTAATGCAATCCAGAAAGTCTTTGAATGAGTTCACATTATTTCCAAAAATAATATGTTGTTCCAGAAGTCAACGATCTGTTTGTAATTCCAGTGAAAAATTTAGATTCATCTCAAATTATATCTGAATACAACTGCAAATGATTCCACAGACTGATCTTAAAGTAGGAATAAATTATTTATTCATCAATTCCCCACTATAGAAAAATTAAAGTTGATATAAGATGCAATAGAATATTCTGAAATTCTAATGGAAAACTCGTAAACTAGGCTAGACCATAAATTCAAATGCTATAAAAGATCTTTACTACTTACAATAATAACAAAAGTCAGATATGCAAAAACTCCATTCATAACCCTCAATCAATGTAAATATATATAGCACTACAACTAACACATTAAACACAACATCAAATAACTTTCAAATACATAGGACACTATCTTCAAAGAAAAAGGACATTAGTTCCAACTAAAAATACAACTATATCATTATCAAAATATGTTGGCTGCATTTTGATTGTGTTTAGAATATTTCATACATGCAAAATTTTGAACTTTCATTTAAGAGATTGTTACAACAAAGGATAATATTAATTTCCCGATTCATTTCTTAAAGTTCTATTCAATACAGTTCTTAATCCATTTGCTGTTTATATTAGAACTATATCATGTAAGTTTTGAATAATAAATACATAAATATTGATACACTGTGGCATACAATATACTTCATGTGCATTTTGGCGTATCTATTTTCCGGCGAGTCGTTGTTTCTATGCACTGAAATGGCACACACCAGTTATTATGTACTTTTGGGAGTGTGACATATGTAAGTTGAAATTGTCTGAATTTAAAGCATGCGCAGTGGAGAGAATTTTGGCATACACTTCTGTTAACTTTGATGAAATGTGGCTGACATGTCTTTGGATATTGTACTTATGGAAATTGTACATGATCCAAGCACACTGCTAAAATGACTGCTTCTTTGTGCAGAAAAAAAAATCGGGCTGAATTAGTTTAAAGTACAGTATTTTTAGCAACTATCAAAACAGATAGAATCAACTTTGCCCATCTACATAAAATCAGCTTCTGAAAAAGCAATGGATGAATTACCAAAAATATAAAATGTTAAAAAGTGTTATCTGTTCTTATTTGCACATCTGGACTAAGGACAAGCTGTATCACTAAACCTATATTACACAAATCAATCACACACTAAAATAAAGGGAATTATTATTTTTTTAAACAATACCTAAGATATGCAATGCCGTTTCTAAGTAGTCAGTATAATCAGTGAGGACATCTGGGGAAATTCTTTTTCTTTAAAAATCTAATCTGCAAAATACGAAATTATAGAGTGCCGCCTGAAATGATTGTGATTTTAGGCCATGGAACACAATTAATTTTACTATATAGTCTTTACATTTGTTTCTCTGAACTTTCCAACTGTGTGATAATCAGTCCGAATCATATGTTAATCTAAAATACCTTCAAAAATGACTTTACGGTGAAGTTCTCGTCAAGAGTAGACCTGCATTTTTTTTTGAGAGGCTGAATTGTAAACAAAATACCATGCCACAGAACACAGATTTCACTTCCAAATCATTAATATGGCCTAATTACTCACTGCACTGTCGCCGAAATACACACAGACAACCTCACATTCTAAAGAATAAACAATATCCTTTAAATCCTTACCAAGAATGCCAAAATCTAACTCTTGTATGATAACCAAATCGAGACAGAAAAAAAAAATATTTATAAAATGATCTAAAAATAGACTGGGACTACATGTCCTGATTCCATTAGTCCTTTAGTACAGTTTTGTATTTAGCATAGGGAGAATTTTAAAGAAAAAGAGTTTTCCCGGGCTTCCTCACTAGTTATACTGATTATTTAAAAGAGAATTTGTATATCTTAGGTATTGTTCAAAGAACCTTTAATTCCCTTTTTTTTGATGTATGATTGATGGGTGTAATATGGGTTAGAGTATACAGCTTGGCCTTACTCCAGACGTGTATCTTTCAAAAAAAAGTGCTAACTCTACTTGCACATTTTCACTTCTCGAGATAAATTGAAAAAAAAAAAAAAAAAAAAAAGCCGATAACATTTTTTTTTTACATTTTATGTATTTGGTAATTCAGTCATTGCACTTTTAGAAGCTGGTATTATCTAGTTTGGCAAAATTCATTTTCCATATTTTAATAGCTGCCAAGAATATTGCACTTTAGACAAATTTAGGTTGATTTTTGGAGCACAAGGGAGCAGTCATTTTAGTTAACTGTATCCAAAGATCATTTAAAATTTCCAAAAGTACAATATCCAAAGAAATTTCATGCAGATTACATGAAAGTAGC